AAAGAGTGTTAACCGTCACCAAGAAAGAAAAAGTGACCCCCAAAGAACTAGACAAAGAAGGTCTCTTAGTGGACACCTAGCGCTGGTGGGTGAGCTAGGCCCCCGGCAGGCCAGAGAAAGGTGGCATCCCAACCTCACACGTGCAACCTCGAGGTTAGACTACAGGATGGGCCACCATATGGGGCGATTGTCAGGCTTTACAAGCAAAAGCAATACCTGTATTGTTCATAGCTTCCTCCATCTTTCAGTCCTAAAGGAGAGAGAAATGCACAACATGGAAACAGGTAAATAAGGGCAAAAGTGGCATAAGCAAGGACAAACTTGATAACTGCCTCTTTTTCTTCTTTAAAACACTTCAGGTCTTTTTGTCACAAACTCATGATGTTGGTAGTGGCTCCTAGACAGAGGGGACTGAATTACCCGGTGAGCTGTCTCTAAGACTCTTGGTAGGTCGCCTACACTCTCGTGGCCTCTTACCGATTTCAGGCTCCTGTTGCAGTCATTCAGCACTGACCTTGGTCATAGTGGGGGAGCCACATGTGGGCACGGAACACCTATGCTACAGCGGACAGATAGCCGAGGGCAGCGGGGAGATCCCGAGTGTGGGCTCTCGGCAAATTTCCCAGAGGATGTGGTAGTGTGACCAAGGGCGTGGGCTCTGGACCCGGTCACGTTACTCATCCATAAAACGAGGACAAGCAGATTCACCTCAGAGGGTTGTCAGAAGGCCTGTCAGTTAATGTATGTAAAACACTTAGCACCCTGGTGGGCTTATAGTGATGGCACTTATCGTAAAAGTAGCACGTGGTTGGTGAATGTTAGGAAGGTGATATTATAGCTACTGGTGAGAATTCACCAACTCCTGGTGATTCTGGGTTCCCTCTTCAGACAGGACCTCCTCCGTCCCCTCCTGTGGTCACTCTGTGCCACGCTGGGGCACCTGCTCACCCAGGTCCATGTTCCGGGTCCGGGGGTTACACTGCCTGTAACCCTTGCAGCTCCTCAGCTCCATGAGCTGCACATGTAGCTGATTGAGGACGTCCCTGTCCAGGGTGTTCACTGCATTCATCAACTGGTTGGAAAAAAGGTAGGTTATCAATGAGGTGAAGACCCCCCCCCCCCGCCAGCCCCCTTCTACCATCTGGGGGACTGACTTCAGGCAGGTGGGGAGTACAAGGTGTGAAGGGATGGTGACCTCCACTTTCCACAAGAGCTGGGGTTTGGAACAGCTAGAACTACCTTTTGCCTCTAGCCCCACGTGCATGAAATATCAAAATAAAAACCGCCTCTGTGTACGTCACATTGAACTCCTGGAGCCACTGGTCAGGAAATTTACCAAGCTTGGAAAGAAGCTTGGAACCCAGCCCTGTATTTTTAAGCAGCCTTCCTTCACAGCCCCTCAGGTCCTCTTGATGGAAAAGCAGCCATCTGGCGAAGGGCTGGGTGAGTGACCTTGTCCTTACCTGGTCTGGGAGCCGCTGGTGACCCACTAACCTACCAGCTCTGTCACCCCCTTTTGTAAAATACAGGGATGACCTATCAAAGGAGAAAGACTGGTGGCCTGTATGGTAATTAGAGCAAAACAAGACAATCGAGTTGCTTGCACTTACAAATCGTGTAAAAGATTACTTTCAGACTTTTCTTGAAACATGGAAGACTGGGCAATGCCGAGGCCATGCTACTGAGAAGCTCTAGCGCTGAAGCTGGGTCGTGACCATCTGTTTCAGAAGGGACACGCACGTTCCAGTCACCAGGCTCCGTGGCCGCTTCAGTCCCGCATGTATTCAGTTGGGTTAATACAAGGGAAGCGTGGAGTAAGGGCTGCTTGAGTGTTAGTTACCGGCCTATCATCTGTAGGGTTTGGCCTGACCCTAAGGACCCCCAAGCCTCCAAAGTTCTAGGCGTCTTCCCAAGATCCCACAAAACCTGCTGGAACCGTGCCAGGTGCGTAAGTTGGAGGGAAGAGGCTGTACCCGGACGCAGGAAGGGCAGATGGTACACAGAGTCCCAGCCTTCCTGGTGGCTTCAACTCACTTCTGCTGTCTTAGGGACTCAGTGGGACTTGAAAAACCGGTTATCACTTCCTGGGGGGGGGGGGCCTACCTGGCAGGGGCCCCGTTTCTCCAGCCTGTGTTGTCCGTACCTGGTAGGGGTCTGTGTTGAGATCAAAGTACTCTAGGAATCCAGTTGCAAATTCACAGAAGAGGAAGTTGTGGGTCTCATTGATGGTCCTCATGCACCAGTACGTGTTGTTGTTGGCACTGGTGCAGGCGCAGAAGGGCCCCACTGCCAGGGATGAGAGCACGCCCTGAGCCGAAGAGGCCCTGGCTGCCAGCCCCCAGCCCCTTCCTGCCCTTCCTGCCGGAGCACTGACCCCTGAGGTTGCTGGGGGACCCGTTCCTGAAAGACCCTCAGGGTCTGTCCAGGAAGCGCTCACAAGCTGGGGGGCACTGGGTCCCTGGGACCCCCGGGAGGACCCGCCCCCCCCCCCCCCCCGCACCCCAGGGCTCACCACCAGGGAGGCCAGGATGTATTTTCCCAGCTCTCAGTTTGCCACTGCATCCCAGCACACACGTATGCACACACTTATACATACATGCACGTGTGCCTATGTGCCTGCACGTGTCGTTGTTCTGCAGGCGCCTGAGCAGCTTGCGGAGTTTCTTCTTGCGCTTCTGCTCCCGCAGCCACACCTTGTCCTTCTCCTGCAAACCCTTCCTAGGGGCACACGGGGCCGCACCCCTCGCACCTCCCCGACCTCACCCTGGAGCCTCTTCCTGCCCAGGGAGCCAGGGTCCTGGCCCTGGAGGGTTCACGAAGGGAAGGCCCTCTGCCCAGGTTGCACTGCTGGCCCTTGGCAGGGCTGGGGCCAGACGAGGCTCCTGTCATCCGACGTTAGCTCCTGCGGCAGCACAGGGCTAGGGCGCTTCCTGCTCCCACCCGCCCCTGGGCCCCGGGCCCCGCCCTTCCCTGCAGTAACCCGCTCCGGCCACAGAGGGGCACCCGGACCCCTGCCCGTCGTTGATCTGGCAGTCGGGCCTCTGCGCCTCCCAGTGAAAGGCCAGGACTTGCCTTGTCCTTGTTTGTTTTGGCCTAAGGGAGGGCCGGCCGCCTTTGCCCTTACCTGAATGGATGCAGGCTGGAGCCTTTGTGCTTGAGGCGGCCTTTGTGCTGGGCTTGGTAACTGCAACAGACCCCCAGCCTGGCTTTCAGACACTGTGCCCAGGGCCACAACGTGGGGTGGCTGCGAACTGCGCTTCTCTGGGATCCCTGTTTCTCCTTCTGGGGCGGTGCTGGGGAGGTACTATCCCCTGGGTGGCAGCCCCCTGCCTGCCCAGCTCCTTCCTCCATATGTGACCTGGGAGCCCCCCGGCTGAAGGCCTCAGCCAGACATAGAAGGTTGGGGTAGAGGTGAGTTAACCAAGTCTGGAGGCTGGGCCTGGCTCTGCGTGGCTTTAGCCTCAGCATCTCCAGGCGGGTTGCCCCCAGGCCCCTGCCCACCTCACGCTTGGTCAGGGCCAGCCCTCGGGGAACCCATATTTTGTAAGCCCTTTCTGGAAAGGCAGCAGTGACTACAGTAGCCACTAACCGCACGTGGCTATTTCAATTTTAATTAAACTAGCAATTCGGTTCCTCAGCTACAGTGGCCGCAGTTCAGATCTCAGTAGCCACGTGTGGTTGGCTGGTGGCCACCATATGGGGCAGCACAGATACAGCTGCTTCCATCACCAGAGAGGTTCTGTTGGACGGCGCTGCTCGCGAGTTCAGACCCTTGGGCTGGGGGTTCCCTGAGCTGGTAACGTGGGCCTTGGGCCACGTGGGCTGTTCCCGGAGGGGCAGTCAGCAGAGGCACTTTTCCCGAACCGGCTCCACAATCAAGGGCCTGCCTGTCAGCAGTGCATGAATCTGGGCATCTGGCTGGTACCCGAGGGGTGGTGCTTTCTGCCCAGTGGCTGACAACGGGGATGTGAATTATTACTAATTATGTCTATCCTAAGCAAGGAGACAGGGATATAAAAATAATGAAAGGAGTCACAGAGGAGGGGATGCTGCATCCCTAGAGTGATCCCGCAAGAGCACTCGGGGCCTTCCCTGGGCCTTTCTGCTACCTCCTCACCTGACTTTGTGACAGTCACATTCTTCTGGCCGCTTTTTCTTCAGATGACCTCGGACTTCCCTCAGGTTCTTAATTTTGTTCTGCAGGGTCTCGATCTGAGGGAGGGAGCAGGAGAGGAGGCCGTGAGCCTCTGGGGGGCTGGGTCAGCAGGGCTGGCCTGGCGGGGCCTCCCAGCCACTGTGTGCGTCTGCGGGTGCTGCG